CTAGTGGATGTCTCTGGCTCCGAAATGACCATTCGTCCCTAACTGCCCTAGGAATGCTTCGAAACTTCCAAATGCCTCAAATAGCTTCTGTTGAGGAAGTCCTACCCACTGCCTTTTCGTGGCAGAGGTGCTAACACTCAAATGGAAGGGCAAAGGCGAATGCCCGGCCCTTTCCACCGGGTAGACTCATCGCCGGTAGTCAGTCTAGGGAAGTTGACTAAACCGTAATTCCTGACCACGNCTGACCACGCACATGTGGCGTAAGAAGCTCATAGTGGCACTGATCCTCGGCGCAACCGAACCTGTCTGCAAAGTTAAAATTTCGAGTTGGCCACCGTGACGCTCATTGGAAAAAGCTCGGCCTAATGGGTAATCTGGGTATCCTGGATAGTTGTCCATGTCCGAAAGGCGTATGAACTGGTCCCCCAGAGGACTGTTGCCTCCCTACTCCACCCCACTGCCTTTTGGGTTAAGTTATTTAACCAAATGCTCGGAGTAGGGTCCCTTAAGAACACCTCTACTTCGGCTTGGGCAACCGGGTAGTACGACGCCCACAATCTAACCATGGAATTATGCATTCATACATGTCTCGGACTCTAATATCCATCCAAAACTCCTCGAAATTTGCACGCCACAATTCCACCCGTGCCCCCACACAGCTCCGTTTTTTCCAGTGTATTTCCCACCTCGGAGCCTACCGTTCCATTCCTCCGATCTCAGTGTGCGTTCAAACAGGCCTCGTTCGACGTAAGAACTGTAATGCCTCCAGGACAACAAGCGGGTTGGGCTCTTCCGCTCGAAAGTCCTGAGATTGATCTGTATGCCTCTCGGAAACATCCATTCAGGATTCGAGCTCAGTGATCCAAATACCGTCTCCCTCCGATCCAAAAGAAGCGTTTCAACCGCGCGTTTCCGGGGACCCTATCGCATCAGGCCTTGCACCAAAGCCGAGGCTGACCTATTGGTCTGAATCTCGATAGTTAGCCTACTATGCGCAGTGAGACTCAGAGGCTGAAGTAAATTCAAAAAGCAGAATCCAAATGAACGATACTTACTCGTGGTTTCTGCGTAGGCTCCCACAGACTGTAGCCTGGATACAGTCAAGGATGCCTTCTATCACAACCTACATGAGTTTCTTCTCAGAGCACCTAAGAGGGATATCGTGATCCTGGCTGGAGACCTAAACGCACGCGTTGGCAGTTTGTCACCCGATAAGACCAACCTTGGTGGAGATCATGGCCTTGATGGCTGTTCCTGTTCCTCGTTAGCATGAACGTCAGATACCCAAAGCGTCACCGCGCCACCTGGCGTAACCCCTATTCGGCCCAGATGTGGACTCAGCTTGATCATATAGCTATTAGCTATAGATGGAAAGGGTGTGTGAAAGACTGCCGTTCGTATTGATCTACCTGTGCCAAGTTGTCTATGCGATTTGGTAGCCGCAGAAAGATGGGATGTAAACAGCTTGATGTCTCCCCAAACTCTCTGATCCGTTCGGGCTAGCCGACTACCAAACCGTGTGGGCCGCAAAGCTAACTACTACCCCACCAAGAAGCGTAGATCAACACTGGACAATCATTCAAAACGCAGTGCACTCAACTAGTTTACAAAGTTGTGGCCTGACCCGTCGGATCGTAAAATGTTGGATCTTCTCCAATTCTCCCAAACTTCTTGACCTGTGTCGGTCGATCCCGGCAGACAGCGAGTGCAGTTAACAGTGCCTCTCTCTGAAATGTGAACTCACAAAGAGGTTGAGAGACGACCAAAAAGCCTGGTGGATCCTACGTGTAAAGGATATGTAACCAGTTGCTGGGTTTGGAAAAACCTTATAACTATTCCAACTCATCCATGCTACGGGCCCCAAACGACAGTGCGTTAGTAGAACAATGTGCGACGTAGACGGTACGGTAATACACAGTCTTCAGCGATGTAGGAACGTTGGGCAGAGCACTTCACATCTCAGTTCACCTAGCCCTCCGAGCTGGCTGCTCCATGTAATTCTCTTGAGAGTGCACCCTGGCCACTTTTCACTGGACCGCCCACAAAAGTCGAGATCCGAAAGGAGCTCTGAGCCCCGAGTCGCCCAGTGGTAGCTGGATCAGACGACCTGCCCTCTTTAAAGGTGGTGGAGAAGCTCTCGTGAGAGAGCTTGCGTGACTGTTCTTAAAGATCTGAGAAACCAAGAGTGTACCCCACGCATGTGGAGAATCGATTGCTACTCCCGTCTACAAGAAGGGCTGTTGCAACGCCTGTTCCAACCACAGGGGCGTTAGTCTAATTCCAATAGCACCGAAGCTGCTGGCGTCCGTTTTATTGCTCAGAATTAGCCCATTTCGTGAAAAACAAATCTGCTAGGAGCAGGCTGTGGTTGCATAGATCAAGTCTTTATCCTTCGTCAGCTACTGAAATACCGCCACAAATACAGGTTAAAAATCATCGTCGTATTTTTGGACCTCAAAGCAGCCTTCGATCCCAACGATCGTCCCGTACTGTGGAATTGGTGGCTGAAATACGTAGTACCCGAGAAGTATGCGCTACTTCTA